GAAGTCCACTCATCTTGAAGTTGCCAAGTTTGAAAAACACTGCCCTAGACCACTGAAGGAATGCTTAAATCAAGCAAAATCTTGCTGTGTGAACTGACTATCATCTTGTAGTTACCTGCAAAAGCTCTTTTCTCTGGTGGTGCCATGTCTGTGGAATGCTTTCCCCCTGAAAATGTCAAGGTACCAACTATGTCCTTTAGGTCTACATTTTTCCTACCCTTTCTTCTCTTTCCTGCCCCTTTTACTCCTTCCCATTTTAGACTGTACAATATAATGCTCCATAAATAATTTAGAAAAACTTTTGTGGAAACCAAGGATAACATGGCACACATTAGTGCAAAATATATCTAAAAAAAATCATGTCTGACCCAAGACTCTCTGACAACTTGTTGGACCAAATGCCATCAGAAAGAATGGCAGCAATTTCTCCTGGAGGTTGTTTTTTTTTAACCTCCCTCCCCAATTACCTCAGCATTTGATCAGATCTTGTCCTTTATAATGTATTATTTGCGGGGGTGGGGGGGAGATAGTATTTTTTTCAGAATGCACTTTATTCAAAACAGCAGAAGCAGTGCGCTATGGCTCTTCCTACCAAATTTTCTCTTTTTAATAGCAAGTACAAATGCATGAATCCTCAGAAAGGTATCAAATGTTATGGAACTATTTTTTGTTGAAGTCTCAGAGACTATAAAGAGAAGTTACAGATTTCATTGATAGCATAGTTTGTATTCCGCCAGGTTTTGCTTACTTTTACTGAGAAAGAACAAAGAATGCTAGTTATATGTACTAAACTATCAGACAACTTGTACACAAGAAATCCAGGCTAAGAAGCAAACTTCTTTTATTCTGTCAAGTTATTAGGTACCTTTCATATAGAATTCACTCAATATTTATTTGGTTTATATTGCCACCCATCCCACCCAGGTGATACTGGGCAGCATACATGATTTAAAAGCATAAAAACTACAACATACAACCCCAGCCTCTCAAGGATAAAACAATGACATGCACACACACCCTCCCGTAAAAAAAACACATCAATAACAGCAGAGCTCATCTAACCTCCTGACCCAAATGCCTGGGGAAACAGCCAGGTCTTCAGTGCCTTACGAAAGGCTAACAGGATTGGGTCCCTCTGAATTTCCGGTGGGGGGGCGGTATATTATTCCATAGGTCACGTGTTGCCACTGAGAAGGCACGACTCCAGGGTCCATCAAAATGATGTTGTTTGATACAAGGGACTTGGAACATGCCTTCTCTGTTAGATCTGGTAAGGTGAGCAGAGATAATAGGAGGACCTTAGTACCCTTAGTGATTCCTGCTATTACAGTTTTAAGGAACAAATGAATTCTTATCTTCTGCCTTTTTTGAATCTGTTCTTCTGACAATTGAAAGGTACTAGCCAAAAGCAATAAAGACGTAAAAGACAAATGTCAGCTTAGTTTAACCATTTCAGGTAAATAAGAACAAGGAAGAGAGTAAAATCTACAGACTAGTCAGAAAATGGCAAAGCTGGGAGGATATAAAAGAAGCGTAGCCCTAGTGAAGCTAAAAGAGCTAGTTCAAATCTCAAACGAACAGCCATTAAGAGGCTTTGAGCCTTCCCACCCCTCATCCTCCCTCTCTCTCACACATACCCCATGCCCTATCCTGTGTTTTCTTCTTCCACTATCAAGGTAGCTGAAATAGGAACAACCAAGTATTTGCTTTTCAAACTCAAAAACCTGGATTGGAGTACTTACTGCTGACATATCCCAGCTTGGAAACCAGTGGCAGCAATTCTGATGGACTGCAATTAAAGGCTACATTCGGTTCATTATATTCCTTAGAAGAGTATTGGCGTTGGACTCCTCTCCTATTTCTTCTTAACAAGATCTAATGCAATAAGTCCAAATGATCGCTAGTATCTTTTGTCTGAAAATTCTTGCAAACTCTTAATGGCTTCATATTTCATGATTTCTTCATGTTCAAATTATAGCTATAGCTTCCCTATATTCTAAAACTCCATGGTAGCTTACAATTTTTTAAAAAATGACTAAAAAATTAACAGTTGCATTCAAAAGGAAGGTAGATCATCAGATTTGTTGCAACAACTAACAGACCCTGGTTTGTTAAGACTCACATGCCAAATATTGTCCAAAATAGTAGTCTCTAAGCAAATGTAGTATTTAAGCAAAAAGAACCATATGGTATGGAAAACCTATGATTTGTTAAAAAGTCCAGTACTAAATGACAAATATGACATGGCTTATGAGCATTAGGTACAGTTCTGTTTACAGGATTGTTTATATATTATTTATATGCTGTTTACATATCTGCACTGTTTACAGGATTGTTT